GGGGGGGGGGGCAGTTAAATATTTAACTGTTAGACAAATAAAAGCAGGTCTGTCAACACAAGATCTGTAGGAATTAAAATTTCTCACAAAAATTAATAGAACAAACGCATATTCAATAAAACCACATTTGTATAATTATTTTAAAGATTTTTTCATTATTAAAACAATTAAGCAACTGATACTAATAAAATATTCAGACAAACATAGAAAGCTCAGATTTAAAAATAGACAAATAAGGAAGTTATAAATAACATAAGGAAGGAAATAATTGCATTTTTATACCCATTTTTTTCTATTCATATTGGACATTTTTATTCTTAAATTAAGCCTAGACGTTCCATGAATTAATCTCTGAATACCAAGTGTAACAATTTGAAACTGTCCAAAAGCAATGACAAGTATGTACTTTGGATGAAATTATGTACTTTCTTTTGAATGCCAAAAGAAAGTACATAATTCTTCATTAAAGTTTGTTTAATGAAGAATTCTCTTTAACCTGATGCTACAGTTGTAGAAATTATCTGTGGATATAATAATGGTTTTAATGCTTTGAATGTAAAAAACTAGGAAAATCTTCCATTTTTGGACAATTTAAACCCTCAAAGGCCAAGGGCCACTGGTCATGAAGTAGGGAAGTTGTGAGAATTTTTTATCTCCCAAAAACTACAAATACTACACTCTAGGTAATATTCTCAGAATATTCAAGGATTTTCCAACCAGGCTGTTAATTAAAATTGCCTTAGTCTGATAAATATTTGTGGGAATTAGGCACTTCAGCTGGAGTTCAAGCACTTGTGACTTAAAACTAATTAGTGCCATTTTAAGAGGGCCCTATTTTCTTTACTTTAACCACTTAAGGAGCAGGTGTCTTAAAAAATTGATCTGTTTAAAAATGTAAATAAACATTAAATCAAACTGAATCTTTAAATATATAAAATTTAGGAAAAAATGTTAATTTTGGATTTAATTCCAGCAAAAAGGATTTTAAAAAAGGTGGTGAAAACCCAGGAAAACTGATGCTTTAAAGAACACTTCAAGAACCTATAGGTTACTTAATAACCACTAGGATATTCAAACAGGTTATTAACATGTGATTTGGTAGAAAAAGAATGTCCTAAAGAGGTTGGGTCTTCTTTAAGTTAAAAGTAGCAAAGGTTCATTACACAAAAAAATCTCATAAGCAAATAGTTTAACAATTAAAGAACAACATCTTGATGTAAAACATGAACAGCTGGTAGACTTCACCATGTGTAGTAACATTAAAAGACCCCAGAAAAACCCTAACAAAGTAATGCACTTGTATTTTTTAGTACATTTGCAGTCTTACTGAGCAAAACGCTTCAGATGACATTTTAACTAAACACACATATAAGCATTTTCTCAGCTTCACATTCACGGCCAATTCAGAATCAGCAACGTCTCTAACGAGCATGTGTCAGACTAACAGGAGGAAACCTCATGTAGGCACAGGGAGCGCCTGCACTCATAAGAGCACCAACAAGGGTTTGAATCAGGAACCATCTTGTTGTCAGGTGACAGCACACCACTGTATTGAAACAAAAAGACAACCCAAAAACAAAAATGAGGCAACACACCATGCCACTGTTGTAGCTTTTTCTGAAATGTGTTTCTGGCATCAAAATAAAAAAGGATATTTCTCATAAGCAGTTTGCGTCGTCTTTGCACATTTATTTTCATTATATACAAAATTAAAAGATTAACTGCATTCTGTGTTTGTGAACTTTTTGCAGACTGGGCTGTAGGACTTTCTTTGACATCAGCTGTATATTTTGCTACCATCAGTTGTACTTTCACAAAGATTACACATTACAGATTTTACCTGTGGTACGACTAATGTATGACTAAATTCAGCTGACCACGCTGCCTTTGGTGGGATCTGATGTAACCGCTTTGGTTGTTTTTCCCCCTGCAGCTTCTTCTGTTAGGATCCTATAAAGCAAACAGAAACTGGACAAGAATAGATGATAGAGAAACAGAAGGTCTGAAGATGGATGAGGTGAGGCAATTTCCCGGCATAAACAGTGAGATTTCTTTCATTATGCCTTTGTTTGTTTATTTGGATTACAGTGTGGTTTGCTGCAACCGCAGTCAGGTTGATTGCAGTTGTTGCGTGGTGGGCTGTTATTTACATCTGTGGAGCAATTTTTACTAACCTATGAAATGCCACAACATGACATCCTCTAATTCCTCTGTCTTTTTCTCAGCCCTGTAGACCATGCAGGAAAAGCCCTCACATGCACAGCAGCAGCCACCACTCCCCTGCATGTTTCTGGCTACCACACACCTAATCAGTCCTGATTAGATGCACTGTGAGGGACGAGGAAGCCAGAAGTTTCCTTTGAGAAGTTCTGATGACAGGACAGAAGAAAGCAATGGGCTCTCTTAAATAAAGCCTTCATCAGGCTCTGGGAAGAAACATGTGGCTCTGTTTATGGCAGGGTATACCAGTGTTCTGCTCTCCAACTGATCTTGCAGTGTCATCTTGATTTACCTCCTTCCTTTAGCACGCTTTACTTCACAGCTATTACTTTAACACCGTCAGCTTCATATAGACGCACGCTCAAGCTCCTCTGTATGTACACATGCACCTCTAAACTTAACGTATTGTGGCAAGCACTCACACACCCATCTACACAAACCAAAGAGATCCAAAATCAGCATCAGCAAGCACAATAGCAATTAGTAAGGGGGACAATTTATTCACATCTGGAGTGGATTTGCTTGCCACCAGAATACCCAGCAATCTCTTCTTTCAGGGTCTGGCACAGTGGGAAATGACTATGTGTGTTTTTATGTGTTTTGTTTAAAACAGATGGGCGGTTTACATTAGTGGGGATGGGTGATAAACAGCTTAGGAGGGATGGTGGGGAACCACCAGGACATCATTGTCCCGTCCAGCTACACAGAAATGGCTGAGCATTCGACTGAAAGCTAGACAGAGACGATACATCTGCATGATGTAACCACTGAGCGTTTGGTGTGTGATAATTTCTGGGCAGAAGTTCTCTGCGATGAGGTGGGGTGTCAAGTCACAGAGAGCAAACATCAGAGTTCTGCAGGAGGTTGATAAGGTAGATGGGTGGAGCTGCAGAGCTGTCCAGTTACACAGTCATCAGTTACATCATGAAGGCACTCTGCCCCAAAAATTATTTTAAAAAAGAGTTTTAAATTAATAGTTAATGAAAATACTCAGTCATGAAATGATTTATTTTTTTTGCTTTATATGCAAAAACAGGACAAAAACAACACTTATTGAACAGAATAAGTGTATCTGATAATGTGCTTGAGGGAGTGTTTGTAGGTGTGCACAGTTTTAGTAAGCCCAGAGGTAAAAATTTGTGAAAGAGAATGAAAAAATAAGAAAGGCAAGATGAATAACTATATAAATAAAGCCAATAATAATGAAATAAGAAGAAATGAATAGTAGAAAGATACTGTCAAGTTCTGTCTGTCTTCCAAGTCACTGCACTTATAAATAAAAGTCTGTTTCACATAGTAACATGTTGAAATAAGCACTGTAAGAAACTCTGAGGGAAAGTGTTTATATTTACTACACTGTTAAAAATGAAGTAATGTAAATAATGTTATATTTATGTAATAATTATTGTATGAATTAAATATTGTCACTTATGGCGTACCCTGTACATTTGTCAGTATTCTTGGCAATACTGAGAATCAAGTAGTTTTGGTGCATAACTTAATCAAACAGGAAGTGAAAGGAACATACTGCATATCCAGGTTCAAAGGCTTGCAAGTCAGAGCACCTGCCTACACATTTGCTGTTTAAAAGCACAGTAATGTAAGTATCAGTTATAAGTTTACAAAACCGGTACAAAAAACATTCTGAACCATTTAAAAGGTTTTAGAATCACTTGTAGCTTTATCCAGATGTTCAGATGGCTTAGCTTAATTAGTTTAATTATCTACTTACCTTTCATTAATGTCCGTTATTGTGGGAACAACCAAAGTCTTATGTTACAGTCTTCATGTATGCCACTCAGACACACTAGGGCAAATGGGATATTTGTGTTTAAACAGAAAAATAAAGTTTGTCAATCTATCTATCTATCTCTCTCTCTCTCTCTCTCTCTCTCTCTCTCTCTCTCTATATATATATATATATATATATATATATATATATATATATATATATATATATATATATATATATATATATATATATACATATATATATATGCTACTGTGCTGCTATAACTACTATAGTAGCGCAGTACTATTACCCTATTACTACTTTTTTAGTTTTTTAGTGTTTTAGTCCAGCTTCATTTGAAGAGGGGCTTTTAGCATTTACAGTTTTAAAGGTTTAAAATATATTGTTTCAAATGTTGATTTTTGTTTAGTTGTTATTAGTTTCATGATTAACAGTCTCAGCGCTTGTTATGACAGTAGTGGTATTTTTAAGCCTTTATGACGTACAGACATGTCTCAAACATGCACTAAAGTCTTCTGTTGCGTTAACAAATTCAATCAAACTGACAAAGATATTTCTCATGTGTTTTAATTTTACTTTAGTTTGCTTTCAAATTGAACCTTTTCACTAGTCTAAACCTTTCTAGTGCATTCAGTTTTTATCCATGTCAGTAAATTATTATTAGCATGTATTACTAACATTTTCTAGAGGTAGATATTGCATTTTTGTTTGTTTTGGCATGTCCACGTTTAAATTAAAATTTAAATAAATCTGTCAAGTGAGAAATATTTCTTACCATTAATAGCTTTAATGCTGCAAACTTTAGAATAGACTTTAAAGAGATAGTTTGGCTTTTTCCAATTTCATTAATAAGATAAATCTCCTAACATCAGTTTTGATACTTTGTGTGTTGCTTTTTGTTACATTCAGTCTATGTGTAGCTACAGCAGATTACTGAGAGGAACCAACAGACCAAAATAAAATAAGATAAAACACACACAAAGCTTAACATCCCTAAATACAAGAAAACCTTGAAGGTGAAACAGGTTTCTCTTAATTTTTCTCTATATCACTAAAGCAAACTGCTTCTAATACAGCAGCTGGAAACTAAAGAAAATCAACAGTAAACAGTTATTAAATTTGACCCATTTTCTACTACTTTTAAATTTAAATAAATCTTGAAAACCAGAATGAAATTGTAGGTGAAGTCAAAAGTAAAACTAAATATGAAAATCTGGTTAAAATACAGGTAAGTTAAGTTTAAAAAAAGGGGTTTTTTTTAAATCAGAGGTTTGGAGCAATCTTTAATACTTGAAATGACACTTAAAAGTTAAATCTTTATAATCAAAATTACTTTAAAATTACTTTAAAATTACTTTAAAAATACTTGGTATCCAGAACTTGTCAGGCTTGCCGTTTTCACAGCAGACAAGTCCTCTTACAGCATGGATTTCATTGGTTTTTCCAAGTAATTTTTCTTGTCTTGAGCAACATTGGAGTAGTCCATCACAGTAAAATTTCTCTCAGCTTGCTGATACTAAGCTCTCTTGTAGCATCACCTGCAGGATTTCCATTTCCTCTATAATAGTTCCACTGGGTAGGTTCAGTTAAACTCTTTTCCACATCCCCTGTTTAGTCAAACTCTATATCTTCTCCAAAGTTTAACTTGGCTCTCTTCTATGTCAAGGTGTGTCAAGATATATTTACTATGTCTAGCTACAATAAGAGCACCTAGCCATTCCAGGCTGAGTAGGGTAAAGTTTTTTAGGTGCATCTGTTGTTTTAAATGTTTTCCAAGTTCATTACCAGTTTTACTTAATGCCTTTATCGCAGAGGAATGGGTTGGAAAAACTCTTTCTCAGGTTTAGGCATTAACTTTTGCATCTTAAAACTCACTGAAGAAAGAAAATAGGAGGACTGTTTCTATTCTGTTTGTTCACAGAGTATTCACCCGGACAAAAAACATACCTCAGATAGTTCATGGACAACTGGTGTGTGTAACGCGATGCCTTTGAAGAGGTGTGTTTTTTTCTTCACCTCCATAGTTACAACATGGAGTTTTATTATATTTAAAAACACATAAACAAACAAAAAAGTTTTTATTATTTACACTCTGTTCTTCTACGTGGACAAATTTGTCAGAAAAACCTGTTTAACATGTGACAGCTCTGCATGCTAGATCTGTAAAATGACAGCACACCATACAGATTTCAGCTGAACTGAAAGCTGGGTTGTCAGGAACAACACATAAAGGTCAACAGGAGGAGGGTTGTTTTGAGGTTGACTACCTTATTTCCCTCTTGTGAAAGGCCACAAACAGTGTAGAATATGAAAGAAGTTAAAAACATAGCAGACAAATGGGGAAACATAAGTGGCATGTATGCATGTGTAGATGTTCTAATACTGAATACTACTAACTGAAAGCTTCTTCCTCTGCAGCTTGAAGAGTCGAAAAAGGAAATGAAACTGATAAAACCTTGGATAGTGAGGAAGAGCTGCACAAAAACTAAAATGCAAAAAAAGTTAGGTGAACATTTTTATGTTTGTTTGATTGTTGTGATCCTGTCACCTCAAGGAAGTCTCACGCTCTCTCTCCCTGTCTCACCAACTTTTTGTCTTTTTCTCAAACTCCGGCAGTGAGTTGTGGTTCTTTGTATTGTTATCTTCGCTGTCATCTGTAACAATGAGAAACAGTGTGCGTTCGAGGGATGGGGGAGGAGCAGACATCAAGAACGACACAGGAAAAGAGGGAAAGAGCAGCCAGCTGTTGAGCATCAGAGAAAAGAAAAACGAGAGTGATTGAGTACAAAGAGAGAATCGTTAGAACGGGTTGGCTGACCTGGAAGATGCAAAGGGATTAAGAATCCCTGAAAGCCCAACTAGAAAACCTCAGAGTCCTTTTCGTGTGAAACTCACAAAAAAAAGTTCTGGACTTTGGTTATAATTTAAAAATATATAGTCTGTCTACTGTTTTAGCTGTTTTATGTAGATGTACATGTTTAGTTGTCCTTGGAGTAATTATAAAAAACCAACTATATGCAGATAATTCCAGTTGTGTCGCTCAGCCGCTTAGCTGTGCATAACAATCTCTTTATTGTGACATATTTAAGCAATTATCGGTTGATTCGGTCAAACAAGGCAGGCTGGCAGAGAATCATCTAAATAAAAGTAACAAAAGTTTGAGACCGCACCCAGGCCACAGGTTGTCATGCCTACCCAGTACACTTGGTCTGGGCATGTTGAGCACACATGTGAACCTCTAATGACGAACACATAATGACAACACTCTGGGAGTGCTGCCCCTTCTCCCATCTGAGTCTTTATCACTGGATGTAGCATTGATTGGCTCCATCTGATTTACACCTGGGAATCTCAGGCAAAGCAGCAAGGACTAATGCAATATTTCTTTTCTCATACTGTGAACTCTGTGTGACCCCCTTCTTTGTCAGTCTGCAGGAATGATCAAAAGAGAAGTAGCAAACGCTTATTGTATGCTTTAAACCCATGATTTTCTTCCTAACTCAAAATATGTGCTGACACCCAGCGTTGTTCATTTTTAAAGGGTTAGTTCTACAGTTAGTTAATGCTATTCCTGTATGATTACTGTACATCCACTGTTTACTTCAACCATGCACTGTATATAAAGATAATGTTCTGTCTATTTAAAATCACTGTTTTCAGCCAGCACTGCACTAACAGAATTTTGACTATGTTTAATCCAAAATCTGTTAAAACCAGTCTATGACATTTTACATAAAAACATTACAATATATACAATGTATAACTTTGATAGGGCACAGAACTGTAAATAAAATAGGAGGTTCTAAACAAACAGAGCCATTCTAGTTATTAAAAGCCACCACCGCTCACCCAATGACCAACTTGTACACATTATGAATGAAAATTTCAGCTTTAGTCTCAAAGCATAATGTTTCCACCTCCATGCTCGAGAGTATGATATTCTTTGGGATTTGGCATTTCTTTTCTTCAAACACATCAGGTCAAGTTGATGCCAAAAAAAATGGATTTTGGCTTAATGTGATTACAGCACTTTTTCCCAAGCCTGGTTTTGTTTGGCACACTCAAAAATTCATTTATTTTTTGAAGAACAAACCTGTGGAGAATAAGGCAATATTTATGAAGCCTTCTACCGCAACAATGATTTGGAGCAGAGCAATTTACAGTTGTGTAAATAAATGCTTTCAGGTGCATCAGCTGTGGTTAACAGCAGGCTAGGAGCTAGAGGTACTGTTTTTCTCATGGACAATTGCAAAACGTAAATTAACACTTTTTGTTTAACACATGGTTAAAAAGTGATACGACTTCTCAGATATTCATTTTGGGAATATGGCTGATGTCTCAGTTTAGATAGAAATGGGCTACACTTCACCCTGATGAAAATATATCATTCATTATTCAAGCATCATTTTGTATTTGCATTTTCTGCATATAAGATGGTTTAGAATGTAACTGCAATGTTATTTCCTGTATTCCCTCAAAATCTCAGTTAGCTGCTAGCTTTAAGCAAAAGAGTCCTGTATGAACACAGTTGGATTTTTTAAGTTTTGAATCTTCAGTTTCCTCTTCTTAGCTGATAGGAGTGGCACCAGGTGTAATCTTTTGCCACTGTAGCCCATCTGCTTCAAGGTGTGTTCAGAGATAATCTTCTGCATACCTTGATTGAAGCAAATGGTTATTTCAGCTACTGCTGCCTTCCTACCAGCTTAAGGCACTCTGGCCATTATGGGTCAGAGTAGAAGGTATTTTTAACCCAGAAAACTGCCACCCACTTGATATTTTCTGTTTTTCCACACAATTCTCTGAGGTGATTGTTGTAAAAATCCCAGCAGACCAACAAGTATGCCAACCAAACAGTTTTGTCTTCATCCTTTTCAAACACGACAAACATTTTATTCATATTCACTGCAACATCTTAGTTATTCCAAATTTTAGATAAAACAGTTGAATAAATAACAAAACTATCAAATCAAATGTGCAGAGCTAACTGCTGTGGCAAACCCTTGTGCAACTGAAAGGATCTTCTATTTGGTTCAGATTTGAGTCATTTTACTTTTTTTAATCATTTTGAAGTTTGGACTGTTTTGTGAAGGTGCTGCTTCAGTTCAGTTGATGGTAAATGGACTGGGGCTTATACAGCGCTTTTCTACTCATCTGAGCATTCAAAGCGCTTTACGAAACTTGTGCATGCACCCATTCGCACAAGCACATCTTTCTAAGTGCTTCATAGCTAACATTCACATGGCTGCATCGGAGAGTAATTAGTATATTGCCCAAGTAAACTAGGGGAAGCCAGGAATCGAAACACCAACCTTCCAATCAGTGGATGACCTGCTCTACCACCTGAGCTACAGTGGGTGGCTGTGGGTGGCTGTAGCTCAGATTTTAGAGCAGGTTTTTTGATCTTTAAAAACTGAATGTGAAGACAATCACCAATGTCATTCATAAAGAAAATAATAGTTAGATGCAATAATGTACAAAATTGGCTCTATTGCTTATGTTTAAATCGGTTCTACTGTTGCTTATTTAGTAAGTAAGAGTTAATTCTTTAAAACCTGGGCGCCAAACATAAGGCCAAGCTGATTCTGGCCCCCATTTCCAAAGAAATCCCCCCCCCCCCTCCCTTTCCAAAGTAATTAAGTAATAGATAAACAATAATAATTAAAACACCGGTAAGTTCCTGTTTTTTCACAGAAATTTTTATTTTTTGCAATGAAAAAAATACATTTTCTGTTAATTATTGTGAATTACATCTGGGCATTTCTACAGCAGCATTTCTGCATCATACAGGAAAACTGAGATGTATTGTTAAAATCCCTTTCCTTATACTAAATGGGGTTAAATATGTAGTTAAACATCTTTAATCTGACAAAAAGTTTCACTGTTTCAAATCCCTAAAATGTCAAACTGCGAGGAATAGCTACCTGATATTTTATGATCTTCGTATTTCTTTTCTACTTGGATATACACCCATTTTGTTCGATAAAGACCAAAGATTTTACCAGGAGTGCACTTTAGCACCAGTGCAGTAGGTGGCAGCAAAGTTTGAGTTGAACTGTTGAAAGAAACCCAAGGAATTGTGGGATGTGACATGAAGCACAATGGCGGTTAAACAACAGAACATTGACGGTCTTTCACTAAAATGTTTATTCTTATCACTTCTACTCCAAACTTGTCGAACCTTTGCCGAAGAGCTGCAGTGGGATGCGAATGGCTACGTTTTGTACTGCCCGTGCATGGGTAAATCATTCTTTGTAGCTACATGCGCTCATTCTGCCGGAGTAACACAGTTAGCGAGTTCAAAAGTTTTTCATGCCCATGTATGAGTTCACAGAGCCAGGAGCTGTCCCAGGGGGTGCTTGTTATTTCGGAGGTAGTGTTTTTACAGTGAAGCTGAGTAGAGAGGACCTTATAAAAATAAACGCTGAACTTGGAGAACATTTGAGCAGCTAAAATATATGTCTTTGTATGCTCAGACAGGAGGGGCGCTTTCAGCCCTTAGAGCTAATGAAATAAGAAATACTAATCATTCCTACTACTAATGAAGTAAGAAACTTAATTAAATCAAGGACATTGCAAAAATTAACAGAAGAGCTGTATGCAAAAACACAAGTTGGCATCTCCGTAAAATTTGTCAGCTGATTAAGCATGATCTGTTCTAAAATTAGTTTTCTACTACACGCTTCCCTTCCATTAATGCACTTACGAGACAGCGATGCCGTGACCTGCTGTTGCTTACCAACAATAAGATTTAGTAAATTTAGAACAGATATTAAGAATGTAAAAGTGTGTGTATGTATATATACTCATAACAGCGGCTTACAGACATTTTCGTAGTTTTCCTAGCTTTTGGCCATCCAATGCAATGAAATGACTATAATGTAGTTATGTTTTCATGCCTCGTTAACTTGTTTAAACAACGAACTTCCTTGTAGTAAATGTATGTCACACATGCCATGTGAAGGAGCACAAAGTTTACACTGATAGATAAGTGCAACTTTATGCACATTATGCATGTTATTCAGGTCGCTTTGGAAACCAGGCTGACCACTTCCTAGGATCTCTGGCCTTTGCAAAGATGTTGAACCGAACCCTGGCAGTCCCTCCCTGGATAGTGTACCGCCATCACACACACCCCTACACCAATGTAAGTCCAGGCAGCAAGGTGAGAGCAAAGCTGTTGTTAAGTGTACTGTGTGGTGTACTTTTAGTATCCCTTTGGGAAGTATCAGAGGCACTGGTCACACGCTGTATATCAGAACAAATTACATAAAGCTATTTTTCACACATGCACTGCAGCCCTAAGCTTTAGTAGCAGGTACTTGTCAAAAATATACATAAATAGCTAGAGCATATCTGTCTAACACAAATGTGATTTTGTTAAAGCTATTACACACCAAGTCTTAAGGTGGCTGTGTTGTTTTATTCCACTCTTATGTATTCTGTTCAGGTCCATGTTCCCTACAGCGAGTTCTTCGTGCTGGAGGCTTTGTCTGCCTACCACCGTGTGATCAGCTTGGAGGACTTCATGGAGAAGCTAGCCCCCAAATACTGGCCTTCAGGACAGAGGAATGCCTACTGCTTTGAGACGGCGGCCCATCGGAGTAAGGACAAGAAGTCCTGCCCAATGAAGGTGAATTAGAATCTAAAAGAAACCTTATCTGGCTTAATGTGATTAGCCACAGGTGAAATGCTGCCCTCTGGCGGTCCACGGACAGTCCACAGATTATATATTGTATATTGATCAGAAGCTCCTGTTTGAACACTCTAATATGGCCAGATTATCCCGATTTATTTTTTCAGGATGGGAACCCATTTGGGCCATTCTGGGACTATGCTGGTGTGGACTTTGACAAGTCTGTCTTATTTGGTGGGATTTCCTTCAGTGCCTATCACCAACCTCAGTGGATGAAGAAGTGAGTACATGTCGGTGCAGGTATACACAGAATTATTAAAGGTGACATAAAACATTAAAAAAACCTACCTCATTCACTATTCCACTGTTTCATGCTCTTGGGTTAGGTTTCCTCCCTTTGAGCACCCTGTCCTGGCCATGCCTGGGGCTCCAGCTCAGTTTCCAGTGATAGAAGAGCATGTGGGCCTGCAGCGCTATATAGTTTGGTCAGACAAGATGGTGAAGGAGGGAGAAGAGCACATTGCCACCTTGCTGACCAGGCCATATGTTGGCATCCATCTGAGGATTGGCATAGACTGGGTGAGATAAGCTTGACAAGCCTGGACACAGAGGGTTTTATTCACATGCTCTCTTATGTGCAGCCCCTCAGTCTTAAAAAGTGAGTTGTTTTAGCTCCTTTTCCTTCAGAGCCACAGATCTCTTAATTGGCTAGCACTTGCAAACAGAAGGTTGGGTGGGCTTCTGGGTGAATTCATGTGCTGCATCACAGACATACCTGTGATGGTCCAAGTGTCTCTGCACAGTCTGTTTTTCATGAGAGAGCTAAATTGGCCATAGGTATGAATGTCAGTGTGAATGGTTATCCGTTTCAGTCCCAATCTGGGTTTGTTCATAGCAGTAAATGAATATTCATTCAGTGCATCATTGAGGCTCAATTCAATTCAATTTTATTTATATAGCGCCAAATCACAACAACAGTCGCCTCAAGGCGCTTTATATTGTACAGTAGATTCTACAATAATAGATACAGAGAAAAACCCAACAGTCACATGACCCCCTATGAGCAAGGACTTTGGCGAAAGTGGGAAGGAAAAACTCCCTTTTAACAGGAAGAAACCTCCGGCAGAACCAGGCTCAGGGAGGGGTGGGGCCATCTTCTCTCACCCCAACCAGGGTGAGAGAAGGAAGGCAAGGCTCAGTGATGACTGACTAAAATCTACTGACAACCAATGTTCCCTCTAGTTGTTTAGGAAGGGGGGGGAAGTTTTAGGAGTGACGGCGGTGTTTTGAGATGTGAGAGATTTGAGACGTTTAGCGCAAATCTTGTGTAGTTAGTGTGTAATGTAGTCAATAGTTTTGTTGTGTGTGTCAGAAAAATGAGGTGTTACAGGAGTGATACATCTCCTGTTGTCAGGCCTGCAAGTATCAGGCTGTTGTTCTCCTTTATCTCAATTGTTCTGTAAATAGTTTGAAATGTTTATTTAAAAAAACGCCTTGGCTGCATTTTTAGGTAAACAGCTGCAAAAAACTTTGTTTGCATAACTCAGTTACTTTTTTGAAGAAGTAACTATATAATTAATTGCCCAACATTGGTCATTATATACTGTATTTTGCAGACAGAGTGTTACAGGACTCTGTCCCAGATGCCCAGTCTCCCAGACTCATACTCATAATACAAGTCAGAGCTTTATAAAAAAAAAAAGAAAGAAAGAAAGTGTGTTGTTTTCCAAATTGGAGTTCAAGTTATTTTTACTTAACATACTACACAGGTCACGAACAAGATTTTTTTAAATTTTCATTGTAAGTGGGCTAAAGCAGTTAATTAAAAGTAGTATAACATAAATGTAAATGCTGTAATTTGATTATTTTAATAAACCATGTAACTTGGATGGATTCAATACTGGCGTGAAAACAGTGCACACGTCTGCTGTTGGTCACAGTGGTCCAACGGGGTCTCAGGGAGTTTGTGTGTTCGCTCAGACACATCAAAAATTATAGGGAACATTGCTGACAACAGAGGAGGAGCAAGCCCATAAAAGAAACTATGCGGAAATGAAACAAGGACACAAATTAGGTCGATAAATGAAATATTTGTATTCATTTTTTTCCCCTTTGGCTCATTGTATCCATATATTGTGAGGGAACAGTCAAACCTTATAGTCTGTACAGTTTACATTCTAACTTCTTAATCTTTGTCTCCTTTTCTAGCAAAATGCCTGCAAACTGCTGAAGAATGGCGATGCAGGACCTCATTTCATGGCCTCCCCTCAGTGCGTCGGGTATAACCGTCAAAAAGCCCTGCCCCTCACTATGGCCATGTGTCTCCCTGACCTAACTGAGATTCGTGGGGCTGTCAAGCTGTGGGTAAAGAAGACCAACGCCCGTTCTGTCTACATCGCCACAGACTCTGAATCGCACAGTCAGGACATTGAAAAGCTCTTCAAAGGCAAGGTGGGTTCTTGTGTGGAGAATTCATAAGTCTGTCATAAGCTTGTTTTGGCATCTTTGTCCTTAATGCTAACTTGAGGGGCTGGGAGGTTTGTGAGAACTTAAGAACCTTTCAAACTCTTTACAGAGTCACTAAAAGTAATCTGGCTGGCTGTGAGCCCAGAAGCTTCACCCACATGCCGTTTATGAGGGACAGCCAGTTAGAAAATGTTGGTTTAAAGGGAGGAGCTAATTTCATACTCCATTTACCTTAGAAGTCAGATAGTCAGATCCCAGCTTCAGTATCTCACAGCTGATTACGTTCATGCCACCATCTTGGATTGTGAAGTCAGGGTTGGTGTGGCTGCTGAGGTGGTGTTCCAGTTGTTAATTCAGACTGGGGACTGGATATTCTGACTTCAAATGGAACGCATCATAAAGCTACTCATTTTTTTACATATGTAATCTATAGGACGATAAAATATTTGAAAGCTGCATGTGACCTTACTCCATTATACTTCAATTTTGTATTTTTCTTTTTTGTAGTAAAGACATTTCCACCATAAAGTGATACATAAAAGCTACAATTTTTGTACCTCTAAGAGGAGGAATTCCAGACATGAATGCAGTCAAACTTGGTTATTGTCATGTACAGACAATGTAACTTGTAAAGTGCTGAGAGTCAGATACGTTTCACATACAAAAGCTTTCCCTGCTTTAAGACCCGAAGATCTGGAGCGAGACCTGAAGGAAAGCCCGTCTAATTTGTGGTTTCCACTGTGACCTCTGCAGGTGAAAGTGGTGAGTCTTCAGCCAGACTTTGCCCAGATGGACTTGTACATCTTAGGCCAGTCTGACCACTTCATTGGCAACTGCGTTTCCTCCTTCTCTGCCTTTGTGAAGAGAGAGCGGGACGTCCGCAGCCTTCCCTCCTCCTTCTTCGGTATGGACAAGCCGGGGAAATCAAATGCCAAAGAAGAGCTCTGATTGTCAGGCGTTCGTCCTCTGAACACTGATTCTAATTACATGTCATGAGGAGGCGAGAGAGTGTTCAAATGTCACACAATGGTTCACAATGTGTCCAGTAAGATTATAAATTAAGGCTACACGCATGTCTACTTTCAGAATGGGTTATGTGTGTTAAAACATGGAGAGTGCTGCTATCAGGAAACACTATTTAAATAAACGCTATTATAATGCAAATACAGTTTTTTAGGGAGTAAAAAACTGTTAAATAAGCAGATGTTTTAACAGTGTTCATCAGTCAGCCACACATTCACTCTGAGCTGTTTGTGGTACACAAGTGGAACCTATACTGCAATGAGGAGGCATAAATGTATACTGTAAGGACTGTCTGAAATACCAGTTTTTAGGCTCTGCATCTATGGGATAATCAACAGAATGTTCAGGGTTTCAACCAACAGGGGTTGGCAGCTGAACATGGCTTAAAAGTATAAGCAGAACCCCCTCCCCATTTTTACATTTAGTCAGAAAAAAAGTTATTAGACAGCAAGCATCAAGTGATCTAATGTCTTTGTTCCCTCTCATGTTTGTGCATCAACCTTTTTTGGTTCCCCATACTGAAGCCAGTTTTCCTTTCCTGAGGAAAACACGCCACTTCCCTAACATTTCCTTTAGGTACTGCCTTCAACAAACTGTAAAAGAGTGAATGCACACTCAGCAGTGACGCTCTGCTGCTCTTTCCTTTCCTTCCTCTATAACCTCCATAACATGGAGATCACAGTAACTGAGCCTGCTGTATATACCAGTTCGAGAGAGGGGAAGAGGAGACATTACCTCTCAGTTTAAAGGTCTCAGGACCAAAATCCATATGTGAACACCTGCACTGAAAGTTGTAATTTTGTTGATGTTTAAGGGAATTTAGATGTGCATACATGTGACGATGTATGTTAAGCTGGTAAACGCAATGATTTTGAAGTCAAATGTTTTTCATGTCTTTTTTTTAAATCAATAAAGTCATGCACACTTTTTTTCTGAAGGACCAGCAGCCTGTTTACTTCCCTCTGGAAGCTTAGCTTTGAATCAGTTTGTCAAATCAGTGAACAGGCTAAGCATGTGGGGCCTTTATAAGTATTTTTCATAATGTGAGCCTGGATATTTTTTTATTCACAGCTGAATAAAGTTAATTTTAAGTTGTACATTTTGTGTATTCTTCAGTGTAATATACTATGCTTTCACATAATTACAAAATATATCTTAACTATATCCTACTTGCACCATTAAGTTCAGTTTTAATTATATTGCACCAATTCACAAAAAGTCACATTGTGGTGTTTTAGGGTAAGAATAGTATTAAGAAGAATCCCCAATAATCAGAAGATGCCCAATATACAAGCACTTGGTGACAGTAGGAAGGAAAAACTCAATTTTAACAGGAAGGAAATTCAAGCAGAACCAGGCTCAGAGAGGAAATCTACCACAATTGGCTGGAGACAGAGAGGAGAGCAGAGAGAGACACTGGTGGGGAAATGGCACACTATGGGATAATAATAATGGATTGGATTTATATAGCGCTTTTCTAGGCACCCAAAGCACTTTACAATACCACTATTCATTCACTCTCACATTCATACAATGGTGGAGGCAAGCTACAGTTGTAGCCACAGCTGCCCTGGGGCAGACTGACAGAAGCGAGGCTGCCATATCGCGCCATCAGCCACTCTGGCCAACACCAGTAGGCAAGTAGGGTAAAGTGTCTTGCCCAAGGACACAACGACCAGGACAGAGAGCCCAGGGATCGAACCAGCGACCTTCCGGTTACAGATGCGATTCCCAACCCCCTGAGCCATGGTCGCCCTTAGACAGCTAGAGTTTAATGATTACTATTAGTTAAATGGATAATATGTCAAACTCTGAACACTGATTTGCAAATTATGGAATTTTGAGTAAAGAGGTAGGAATAAGTAAGTGTAAACTTCATTCTACTCCTTTGAGTATAGACGTATGGATGTAGAGATATTCATGATAACTTCACGTCTTTGTGTGTTTGCAAAGTTTTTCTTTTTCTGGTTATTTTAGCTAGATTTACATATTAGAAATAAACACTGTTTTATTCTACTCTAATAGTGGCATATAAACAGAGAGAGTGAATGAAGTGAATATGTTAAGCTAAAACAGCATAACCTTTTCTTGAAAATGAACAGTTTTTGCACAAATCTGAACTCGAATCTCTTCTTAAATCTAGTTTCTTTTAGTTTGGCTTTTTTTTTTAGTTCTTTTGTTTTTTTCCCGCAGTTTCCAAGAAGAGCACTCGGAAAGGCTGCTCCGTTTGTGCCACAAGTTCATTCAAGATTCTTTATTTGTCACATGCATAGTTTTACTAGAGTTTACTAGACTTTAGAGTACAACGTGCACTGAAACGGTCCTCTACTACTGTGCATAAACAGGATATTATATACAGTAAATAGTTAATTATAAACATTAAGTATATTAAATAAAACAATCTGGAAATTTTACATTTAAAGTCTGAAAATGTACATTGTGCCAGTGGAATGTTAAAGTGTCTCGTGCATACATTACAACGTTCACGTTCCACGCAATAACGCCAACACTTGGACTCCGCCCCCGGGCCTCGTGCTCAGTTTGAGTGTTCTTGAGTTAAAAGTGGCAAGTATGGCACGGATGTAAACAAGGTCACGGCCTTGACCCTTACAAAGCGGGACTTCCTGTAGTATAAAAGTGAGCTTTGCTTTCTTGCACTTGATCTGAGAGATCGGGTGCAGGTAGGTAACTGATTTGCTTTTTTAAAGCCACCATTAAATTCGCCATTTTGTGGTGCGCGTGCCCTGTATTCCTCCCTCGTTTCTTCTTGTCTGCCAGTTAGAGTTAGCTGGCATGCTAGCAATGGATAGCATGCCAGCTAATATTCAAGTGTTTGTGTAGACTGTTTTTTCTTTGAAGGTCCTACCCAATCAAACATAGCAAAACAATAGAAGTATTTTGCTAGGTGATGTCTGGCTATTTCATTGCTCTTTATGTAATTAGGATTTGGCACTACCTTCCAGCTGACTTCTCCCAAAAATTAGTTAATTGTTTTCTACATTGTTTGTTGGGGGCCAACGTCATTTGTACTGGTACTGGAGGCAGTTAAGAGCTAGTCTTCTCCTGAATGTGTGTTTGAAGGGAAGGGAAGGGAAGGGAAGGGAAGGGAGGAAGGCGGGGTAAAAGAAGCTAGAACAAGAAACAAAGCTATTGGAAAGTGCTCTCCAGAACGTCTCACTTTTCAAGTTGTTGGGGCATCTCCTTCTCTGTAACCTGTCAAGCTCCTGCATCCATAAAACAGACATGGAAGTAAAAAGTGGCCCAGTAGTGCTGTGAAAGCAAGTTTCTGTGTTTTGATATCGACATCTTTGATATTGCATGTCTGAGGAAATTTGAGTGTTGCTCACCTGGTTCAAGAGCAGCAGAAGGGAAGGAGTTTGAGAGAAACTGTTTACTGAAACATATCTTCTGACAGTAGCGCCGACATAAATGGGATGATGGCCTCCTCATCATGTGCCAAGAAAAATAACAGAAAAAGTGCCATCAGAGAGCGCACATGTCTGACCAACTACATGGGATTCCTTAACCACATGAGAAAACAGGTGGGTGTTTAAGAATACAAAAGTAGACTGTAGACTAATGCTGCCAAAAGGCACGACTGTGGTTGTTCCCGTCTTGGTTCTTGTGCTTTGTAGTACAAAGCAAGGTTGACGGGTTAGCGACGCATACTGATGTTATTTTACTGATGAATTTTCTGTGTCACAAAAGTAACACAGGAAACTCTGATTTACCCGACTAAATAATTGGCGTCGCTACATTTGTAATCTCTGACTGGGGCTTTAGGTCAAACACAAGGAAAGTTTGACAAAGTTGAACTTGCTATCTAGTACACCTCTTTGATGACTGATTTTCTCCAGGGCAGCCTCTGTGATGTGACCCTTGTGGTTCAGGGAAAACGCCTTGCAGCACACAGAGCAGTGCTAGCTGCAGCCAGCCATGTCTTCAGACTTATGTTCACCAGTAAGGATAACACAAAACTACACAAAAGAACACACATTAATACTCTGCCTTGAGGCCTTACTACAAAACTGTCTCCAGAGAAACATCAGAGGAGCATCCCTCAGGTTGAGTAAAATAGAAAAAGAACCATGTGAGCCAAAATGTAAATATCTTGTAAAGACTAAAATTAAGTAACTGTGTGATGAGTTGAAACATAATGGTAAATCGACTCTGGTTTTGCTTGCCTTCCTTTTAATTCACAATATACATTTCATTTAACAAAATGGACTGCATTTGGCTTCAAACACAAAAGCTTAATGGTTTATTTCAACAAAGATGGCTAATTTCTGAAACGCGTATGGCTGTTGATGTAGTTCTGTTAATTGTTGTTAATTGTTTTATTTGTTTGTTTGATTTTCTTTTCACTTTCAGCCAGAATGAAGGAGTCTGTGTCTCCTGAGGTGGAGCTCAGGAGTGTTGAGCCTGAGATTCTTGAGCTGTTGCTTGAATATATTTATACCTCACAGTAAGTGTGTTTAAAACAGGGCTATACTGTGAAGCAAGTTGAACCCAATAAGGCTTTGTTTGTGTTAACTGGCTTGACAAAGCTTAAAACTACAGTCGGTGGTAATGGGTATCACAGTAGTCGTTAGCAGTTTTTGGTTTGTTTTGTTTTGTTTTTTTCTTTTAAGCCAGCTTTCTGCTTCAGACTCTGTGTGCACTCACATAAAATGGGATTTTGACGTGTCACAAGTCTTATTCTGCACAGAATAATCCCTACACCGCGTTCCAAATTATTATGAAAATTGTATTTAGTGTCATAAAGATTAGATATGTTTTTCAATTAAATGAATGGATGGCACTGTGTCTCAGTGCTCTTTGGATCACTAAAATCAATCTCTGACACCTGTGACTATTAGTTTACCAGGTGAGCCTAATTAGAGGGGAAAAACTACTAAAGAGTATGTACCACATTATTAAGCAGACCACCATTTTCAAGCTATATGGGAAAGAAAAAGGATCTCTCTTCTGCTGAAAAGTGTGAAATAGTGCAATGCTTGGCCATGGAATGAAAACCTTAGATATTTCACAAGAACTTAAGTGTGATCATTGTTCTGTGGCTGAGTCACAGCACACACGGGTTCATGCAGATAAAGGCATAAGGAAGGTTTCTGCCAGACAAATGCACTGGATTAAGAGCAAGCCTTTTTAAATTTTTAAATGTATTTATTTTTTATAAATGCTTGGCTCTAAACACATGCTGTAAATAAAAGAATGGGAGAAAACATGGCATTTTTATTCACTTTTAAACCAGAAAGCCTTAACATAACTAGTGCATTAACCTTACTTTGCAGTACACTCATCATATGGCAATAAAAGATTGTTTTATTTTCTTTTTTCATACTTTGTGTTTTGCCGTGTCCCAGAATCACAGTGGACAGTACTAATGCAGAGTCATTGCTGAATGTGGCCAACCAGTACCAGATTGAACCAGTGAAGATGATGTGTGCGAAGTTCATTTTTGGACAGATTGATGCAACAAACTGCCTGGGTAACAACAGAAACACAGACCTGCCATTGTGGATTTCTTTGAGTGATTCCTGTTCTGTGCTTTTGCAGGCATTTCAGTACTCTCAGACCGCATGAACTGTCCAGAGCTGAAGGCAGCAGCAGAGGAGTTTTCCTATCTCCACTTTACTGATGTCTGCAGACTGGATGAATTTCTAAATCTGGACATTGCACAGCTCGCGCAACTACTGCACCAGGACAAACTCACTGTCTACTGTGAGACACAGGTACCACAGTGTCGACTAGAATTTTGTATTTAAAACAAAAAAATGTAGCTAACTGAAATCAAACTAGACCTGAAATTTAACTAAAGCAAGTTTAAAAACAAAAACACTGTAGAAAGCCTTTGTTCCCACATGTTGCTCCATTCAGGTTTATGATGCTGCAGTGCGCTGGCTAAAGTATAACATCCCAAGTAGACAACAGCATATTGTGGATGTTTTGAGGTGCATTCGCCTACCTCTGGTCCCCAAAACCTTCCTGTTAGAAACTGTAAAGACTGAGCCGCTCTTCCAGGACAACCCACACTGTTTACAGATGATCACCCGTGAGTAGCAAAATGGAGAGCTTGCACTCAAATTCAAGTTTAAGACATTCATGCAAGAACAGTGGCGTAACCAACATTCCCAATGAAATGATCTGCGTCATTCAATGGAAGCAAAAAGTTTAAACTAATGAATTTCAGTAAAACTTGTTATACATGTACAACATAATATTGTGGCTAATTGAATTCCAGGGTTTTGCTGGAATATTTTCTGGGTTTTGTGTATATGTATATGTTGTTGCTCTAAATGGCCAGTATTGGTAATTTGGCTCGTCAAGTGACACAGGCAAAGTTCAAATAGTTGCGATATTGCTTTCCACTGTGTAGATGGATATATTCATTCACAAAAAAAACCCCTCATTGCTTTTGCCTTAGGTGCAATGTGGGACCTTGGAGAGCTCAGCCAACCACGTCGCAAGAAGTACGACAACTGCATTGGTCTGTTTAATGGTAACCGCTGCTACTACTTTGACCCCAAGGTAACAACAAATATTTACCAATTCTAGCCACAGGGGCATCACTTCAGACTGTGTAATATCGTTTGGGTATGTGCTTTTTTTTTTTTTTTTTTTTTTTTTAGCAGTTGCTTGATTCTTATTTACATTGCCACCTTAGGTAAATGTAGAGGAATCCCACTGATTACATATGAGCTACCTTTAACCTACTATAAGGAGGAAAAACTCTCAAAGTGACTTCCAGCTCAAGGCAGGCCAGCCATTTTTGGTGGAAGGTTAAGGGGAAATAAGATTGAGAAGATGAGCACGAAGCAACAAACAGTAAATGGGGCTAAATAGTTGTGCACATTAGTAGAATAACGATTTGGTTAATCTTCGGTGTTTGTTTGTTTTGTTGTTTTCTTTAAATAGTTCCATACAATAGCAGGTCTGTTCTAATCACTACACAAGTGTTGGTATTGCTTTCCATTCAGGATTACAGCTGGATGAGCATCAACTGCAAACTGTCAAAATGCCAGAATACCACAGCTGTCCTCTGGAATAGGGTGGGCTCCATTTTAGGTGGCTCACACAGCTTTCACATCAAACACACAGACTTCTACAACATTCTGAGGAATAGATGCTCCAGGCCAGGGCCACCAACACCTCGTGAGAACATGTCTGCGTGTGTTTTTGAGGGCAAGATCTTCACATCTGGAGGATCAGAAGCGGGTATGCATGGTGATATGTGTATCTCTTGAAGAGACTGTGGGCAGTGAATTGCTATAGTTTTGCTATGAATGTAGTATAACTTGTTATCAGTGGGGAAAGTTTCTAGCCATGTCTGCAAGCATATGTTTCTGATATTATGTATTGTTTTTGCAGGTGGGTCAGCTGTGGACCTCTTTGAAAGTTATGACACAATGACAGAGTCATGGCAGGTCAACACCAGCATGCTAGTGTCCCGCTGCAGTCATGCCTCAGTGGAGGCCAATGGGCTCATTTATGTTTGTGGAGGACTGACTGGCAACAGTGTTTCTGGTAGACTCCTCAGGAACTGTGAGGTCTATGACCCCAGCACACAACAGTGAGTCACTACAGCTCTGTACGCTGTGTTTTTTTTGTGTTTTTTTTTTTTTTTTTTAAATATCCGTCTGTGTATGTTTGCAATGTTTGGGACTTTGTGCTTTAAAGGAGGTGTATGAATCAATGGGCATCAGGAGGCTAGCAAAGTTAAAGCTAAATGTATACCACTTTATTGCATGACTGACCAGTGTCACTGGCGATTGTGCGTGGTGTTCCTGCATTACGCTGGAATTTTGATGAATTAGAAGAAAAGAAAAGTGGCAGCTGAAGTATAAGGCTACGTTCACACTGCAGGTCTTAATGCTCAATTCCGATTTTTTGATCAAATCAGTTTTTGTTTTTTTTGTTTTTTGTCTGCTTGTTCACACTACAAATAAAACGCGCTCTAGTGTGAACCCTCAAAGCGGCCCGCATGCGCAAAAGAAGACGTCACACACACCGCGCTCTGTTTAGACCCAGAGCAAACTATATTGTTTGACTGATGGCCCTTGATATAAAGACTTCGCACTTCATGTTTCCCAATTTTTGCTTTAAGTTATTTTGTTATTTACATAATAATGTAAATAACCTAATAATGATCCTTATTGCTATTTTAGAGGAGCGGTGCTTCAAAGGATAGTTGCAGATTTCTGTCAGAATCTGCAGGTTATACAGTACAAATAAAATGTTCACGTTTCTCCAACGTTGTCTTCCCAGCAGTTTTAGTCTGATATTATGTATTGTTTTTGCAGGTGGGTCAGCTGTGGACCTTTGAAAGTTATGACACAGTTCCCAGCTTTCGCCTGCAGTGTGAATGTAGCCTCAATCTTGCATAAGTAAGCACAAAAGTTACTGTTGTTGTACTGGCCACAGTGGACGCCAGTGTAAAAATACATGGTTTCCAGGTTTCTCCCAGTGCACAGTGGATCTTATAGCCACCCAGGCAGGTGGTCAACAAGGACACCAAAATTTGTGAAAACATGGGATTTCAAAATAATGCCATAATGCATCTTCTAAAAATCTCGACCAAATTCAAAGTTGTAAGTAAAGTTTTCTGAACTTTTAGTTTAATTCTATTTATATAATAAAATTATATAATTGATACATTATCAAGATTGTTAATAAGCTCATCCATAGATTGTATGGCTACATGGCCAATACCTTCTCATTAGTCCTAAGTAATGCTAATAAAATACTAGGAGCAGGATGATTGGTTGGTACAAACTCTGTCAAGTTAAAGTTTTATTTTATATAACACCAAATCACAACAGTCACTTCAAGGTGCTTTATATAGTAAAGATCCTACCATAATGGAGCGAGTTGGTGTTGGTGGCAAGGGAAAAACTCCCGTTAACCAGATAGAACCCTCTGGTTGAACCAGGCTCAGGATGGGGCAGCTATCAGCTGTGACTTTTTGGGGTGAGCAAGGGAAACGACAAAATGAACACTATGGAAGAGAACTGTAATATTTCAAACTCTTTAGCCAGGCTCCTCTGCCATTGCAGTGTTTGAAAAGTATTTTTATATTATTAATAATATTTTTATAATAAAGTATTGAAAAGAGTAATATAGAGCTGGGCGATATAACGATATGTATCGCGATATAACTTTTACTCGA